TTATTCCTATCCCGAAAGGAAGCAATGACTTCAGGCCAATCACAATTCTACCATTTCTATCAAAAGCACTTGAACACTTAGCAATTACATGGTAGAAAACTCACTCTTGAGTGATAAACAATCGGGCTTCAGAAGTAATAGAAGTTGTATTACATCATTAATTAAAATTACCGACGATATTAGGAAAGAAATGGACGACAGTAAGGTAACTTTCCTAACCCTACTAGACTACTCAAAAGCTTTTGACTCTGTTAATCATAACATACTGTGTACGAAATTAAAAAGACTTTATAATTTCTCTGACTCAGCTACTAATCTTGTCCAGTCATATTTGTCCTGTCGTCACCAAGCAGTAGTTACTTCGCATAATTTTTCGTCTTTTTTATTCATAAATCGTGGAGTCCCTCAGGGGTCTGTCTTAGGGCCACTATTGTTCTCAATTTATGTCAATGACCTTCCATGTTGTGTGTCTAATTCCGAGTTACACATGTATGCTGATGATGTCCAGATGTATGTTAGTCGTCCGTTATGTAGAATAGATGAATGTATACGTGTCTGCAATGATGATCTCTTCAAAATCAGCAAATGGGCAAGTATTAACGGATTGGAGGTCAACCCTAAAAAGTTAAAATGTTTAGTAATATATAAAAAAAATCAACACACTCAATCTTGAGCAAGTACGCCTCAACAATGAGTATGTAGAGCAGGCAATAAACCTGGGAATAAATATAAACCAAACATTAACTTGGTGTGACCATGTCAATAAGGCAGTAGGTAGATTATATAGCGCACTAAGGCGTCTGTCTTTGACGCAGAATTTTCTTCCTATAAAACTAAAGCTCCTTATTGCCAAAACATGCCTGACACCCTTGCTATTTTATGGGATTGAACTTTTGGATACTGCGATGCAGTAAGTCAAAACAAATTAAAAGTAGCCTTTAATAGCATAGCACGGTACATTTTCAACATTCAAAGAAGAGATTCAATAACGACATACACCAATAAAATATTCAATCTGACCCTTGACTCCTGGATTAAGCTTAGAACCCTAATCTTCTTGCACAAAATTATTGCACGTAAGGAACCAAATTATCTGCACGACAAAATTGCTTTCACGACATCAAGAAGAACGAACAATATAGTTTGCACTAAATTTAAATTAGCAATCTCGGAAAAACATTTCTTTATTTCTGCTGTTCGTCTGTGGAATGATCTTCCGCATAACCTAAAAACAATTAGCAGCGAGACGCACTTTAGAGTTCAGATTCTAGCACACTGACAAAACATTAACTAAATTAACGTTACCAAAAATTATAATATTAACGACACACTTAGTTTAGTAGGCAATTTAGATTAAGTATAAAACTATTAAACTATTCAATTAAAAATATATAATTATAAAGAATAATGAAAATGTTTAATGTGAAAACTAAAACTATGATTAAATTGTAATGACTAGCGTAATAATTTAAAAGTAACCGATACTTGTAACGCTAGGATAAGGTTAATAAATAAATAAATAAAATAAATAAAATAAAAAATAAAAAAAAGTGTTGTAGCTCTGGGAGTCAAGTCAAGATGCCTTATGTGAATACGCAGAAAATGTATATGTTGAAATTTCCCTCCCTCCCCCTTCCCCACCTTCTCGTAACTCCCGTAATTCTTAGAATTTCGAACTAAAATTTTGCAAATACCCCCAGTTAGTTATTATGTGTCCGTATGCCAAGTTTCGTCATGATAGACCGATTTAACAAGAAGTTATAGCCATAAATATATTTGCTGCTGCTGCGCTGCTCGCAGCTGTTGTTGATGTTGCTGTTTGGTTGACTGCTAACATGTTTACAACAGACAAGAATAGATGCGCATAGGCATACATACACTCACAGAGACGCAATTGTTATGTAAATATACACCCTTTACGTGAGTTCGAATACCGAGAGAGGTAAAATCGATCAACATTTTTTTTTAAATGTTCGTGGTTTTTTTTATTTTCTATAATTATTGTAAACATATGTACAGAGTATTTCAAAGTCGGGACACCCAACTTTTGCTTTATTACTTGTTTTTTTTTCAATGACTTTGAAAAAACAAGTAGAAAAGCTTAAGCCGCTTGACTATGTGTATGTACTCGTTCTGTGCGAGCATGCATGCAGCACAATGTTGAACCAAACAGCAACAACAACAACAGCTGCGGGCAGCGTTTGGCCAAATATTATATATATGGCTATAACTTCCTGATAAATTAATAATGAAACTTAGTATACTGATACATAATCACTAACCGGTGATATTTGCCAAATTCAAAAATTTTAAGAATTATGGGAGCTATGGAAAATTATGAATTATGGGTAGGGAGGAAAGGAGGGAATTTCCTGCGTGTTCACATAGTGCATCTTGGACTTAAACTTGCAGTCCGTAGGTCAAATAATTGATGGTTCGCGAAAGTTGGGTTGTGTGTATATGTATATTTATATTTTCTTTGTCGTGACTTCAATAAATTAGGCCTGAAATGTGAGTGAGTGTTCTAACAAAAGGCATAGCTAACATTGCGCTGTACAGCAATGAGTGCGTTTGTTTGTTGTAAATGTAGATGCCAGATGGGCTACTTAACTAAAGCGAGTGATGTTGATGTATGGCAAAATCAAATGGTTCACAAAAACTTTATGTAAAAAAGAAAGACTTGCGTATTTCTATGCACGATTTATTGGCTTAAGAATAAGCACAAACATAAGAGCGGAAATTGCAATTATGCTGCTCGCAGGCAGCTGCAGTGTACGAATTTTTCTCTTAAGACTATACGTTGATTTCAATTATAATTCTCTTAAATACTTATGACTATTTAAAACTAAGTGAAATGCCTTTACAATGTTACTTTACATATCAAATACAGCTTATATTATTTGTGTTGTCCTCCAATAATGGGGTTGTATCCCTGATTGTACCATAGATATCTGCGTAAGTTTTGGTACTTCTTTCTATTGGGATGTTTTGTTTTGGTTGGGTGACTTGGGTGTGATTCGATAGTTTGATGATTTGGGTAGTTGTAGTTGATGTTGTGTGTGTGGGCCCCGAGCAATGGCTTGAGGATGGCTTCGCTGGTTGTTCTGCGGAGATTTTTGCATATAGTGTAGGTTGATGGGTGTGGCGGGAATTATATATTGAGAGGGCAGTTTTGTGGTCTACCTTTTCTAATGTTTTTATAGTTGTAAGTTCTTTTTGTTTTACAAAGGCTGGGCATGATTTATCAAACGGACTTTGGTTTGACGGTTCATATTTGCAGTTTATTCAAAATTTGTCCTTGGTACAAGTCGTCTTTAGTTGTGCATGCTGTAGGGCTTTTGCAATTGGTAGATGAGTGTCAAAATTTTAGACAGTTGCGGCATCTAAGCGGGAGACGTATGCATGGAGAAATTTTTAGGAATGCAAAAGTAAGCATGGTGACGCCGGTTTCTTTGAGTATGAAGTTCTCTTTTTCAATATTTTTCGCACTTCTACAATCTTTTTTGTTTTTAGCTCTTCCATAATTATTGCTTCGTTGTTTCGGAGTTAGTTTGAATAGATTACACCTTTAGAGAAGTTTTGTGCTCGTTAACTATGACAGGGAAGTCGGTGAAAAAAGTTCATTTCAAAAATTTACGTGCTTACATAGTTTTTTTTGTTTTGATTAACAGCGTTCCTGCTTTTGTGTTTAACTTGTGTCCACTTTCCCGTAGCATTGGTAGCCGATCACTTATTTATTGCAAATGAATTCACTTTTTCAAAATTGGTTGTTGGTTCTCGTGATTGTGATGTATTTTGGGTTATTGTGTTTGTTCATCAAAAGACTATTAAATTCTGGTGGACGAATTTTGATTTTTGCGTGCTGTGTTTGGTGGCTGTGCAAACCTCGCAACTTGCTACGTATCTCCTTACTAGGGCCACCATTCCGCGCCAGAAAAAGAAATTTTGGAGGCGCTCCACTTTGATTTTTTAAAGGAGATCGTCAAGTTTGCTGTCTTTAATGCGCCCGCCACGTCCAACAATATCCTGCAGCGCTCAGCGAATGTCCTGGATATAACTAGCAGGTCGTCCAGGTAGACAAAGACGTAATTTCGAAGTCTCTGGGGAATTACTTTGTCTGTTATGCGACAGAGCCGCTGCATGCTCTCTCCATGTGATCTCTATAATCACCGAATTTGGAACTGTTGCTGCAGCCCATAACGGAAATTCGGTCAGTCAGTCTCGCCAGAGGTACTTATGTATATCCAGTACCAATCTTTTGCCCTTCCACTCACCAGACAATGGAAGTCTCGCAACACGTCCGCCCATGACCCCTGGTACAGCGACTGTGCAGGTGCAATATGAATTCCGCCACAGGCATACTCTTGGCTTCGCCATCGAAAACTAGGCCCTACTTCTGATGTGGACGACGTCGGGCCGGGGATCACTCACCGCATATTCGCCTATATGGTCTGTGTACGTCAGGGCCCAGATTACCCACAGCCCAGCTGGAATCTGCTACTTTTCGAGTGGTCCAATTTAAACGCTGTCACTGCCTAATTGATTTCAACGATTGATGACAACGACGCGCGCTATGCCTCGTGCGCCTTCGCTAATGCCATGTTTATAGCGGAACAGATCTCGCTAGGTAGTGCGGACTCGGCTCTGCCTCCCTTTTAATCGATGTCAAGCTCACGCGCCTTTAAAGGCGACCTCGCCCATACTTGGCGACGATGCCTCCCCGACAGGTAAATCTGCCGGTCTCTCCCCCTTCAAAAATATTAAATGAGGTGGGGAGTCCAAACGCACCAATTTCCTATACCAGCTAAGCTCCTGGCTGCGCCTAACTCTTCGGATAATGCTCGGATTTAAATTCATTCATAAAGAAATCCCCTTACTCCGAATACCTCACCGAATATAGACCGATGTATAGGCCCCTGAAATGTACGGTTATTTATATGGTAACCGTGTCCTTATACTAGTACCCGACGATTGTGTTTAAATAAATATACATACATATATTTATGTGTGACAATTATGGCAATGTACCTCCATATATATATTAGAAATCTCGTAAATAAATAAACAACAAAACTATGAGTATATGTATATACAGTATATAAAGATGCAAGATTTGATTGTTTGTTTGTGTTGAGGTGGCAGCGGCCACTGTCAACTCGCTGCTGCTATCAGCTGGTGCGGCCACTGTTTGCCTGATGCTGTTATCGCTGCCTGCGTCGACGTCGGCGACGCGCGAGAGCGCTGCCTCGTCAGCTGTGAGGTGACAGCCGCTGCTTCGGCAGCCTGAACCTTTTTTGTATTTCGCCTTGACACTTGCGAGAAACCTGTGAATAAAGAAGGAGCTGTATATTTGAAGTCTACTTGAACCGGTGGTTTTTCTAACATCAAAGTGACCTGAGGAGTTTTCAGCAGCTTCGATACCACTTCGGCGCCACACTACAACTTTTGGTCCTTCGAGCCGGATCTCTTTGTTCGCCTCCTCGTCTCCATCATTTTGCGTGCAAGTCTCCGCTCGCCTCAGCACGTTCTCGGCGCCGTGGGACACCCAGGAAAAAAAGCAGCTAAGTTAAGATTCTTCCTTTGCATCTACATACATACATACATACCGCCATTTTGTAGTCGGTCCATGTGCTGAGTTCCAGTTCAGAAGTGTGCTCTGCTGCATACACGCATCACGGGTCCCTTCATTACCTGCAACATCAGCAGATCCGTTTATTTTGGCGTATGTAGCCACGAAGATTCCACAGTCACTTACCACCATATTGACTGCACGTCCGATGCGGAAAGCAAAGGCTGAAAAGTTTTCCTCCTCTCTTTCCGCCCCCAAACGTCACGCGTGGCCTTCTAAGGCCTACTTGGCCATCACCACTGGATAGACGCACCCGAAGCCATCTGCATATTTGATACAGATTTGTCGTCAGCCCGCCGTTGCCGGCTATCACGCATGCAGTATCGTTTAGAAAACTAAACGCGTCAAATATTAGGCGCACAATAATTGCGCAGATATTTTTTTTTTTTTTTTGGTTTTAAGTTACCATGATACCCTTGGGTATTGTGGAATTATTTGGCCGCCCACTTATTGGTAAAGTGGAAATTGCCACGAGGGTTATTTCGTAGTGTTTGCTTGTCTTTAAAGTTTTACATTGATTTCTTTTATAAAGTTGAACAGTGAATTGTACTCAGCTGTGGCCGCTTGCTTGAAAAAAGTGTGCACATTGTTGTATTTTGCTAGTAATGTGTAATGTTGACGTGCTGTGTTATGCTTTGTGCATTCGAAAATAACATGTGTTGAGTTGCAATTTGAACACCGTTCGTTAACAGCTATTGGCATACACATTTATTGGCATACTTACGTGCAACCGAACCGAGTCATCGTCAATTTACGAGGCAACTTTTTCACTTAAAAATTGTAATTGCCTATTAAGCAACAAGTGATGTGCAGTCTCGCAGAATTGGAATTATCGGGAATAGTAAAAGTCATTGTCATCGGAAACTGATGCGAATATAAGTCACAGTCACGAGAAACAGCTGAATTATTAAGCTCGATAATTAATGTACAACCAATTGCTCCTGGCAGCAGTTACTTTGTCACGTCAGTAATTCAACAAATAAATGAATAATGAAAATAAACAAATTTAAATTGTATATATTGGTCGCTGCGTTTGTTTTTAAGTTTTATGCAAGGATAATAAGCAAAATTAAATTTGTGACCGGTTGCCACGCCTCCACCCAACGTAACAGGAATCTAAAGCGGAACTTTTGCTGTCTACGTTTACTCCGTTTGGGACATTTTTCTGCCGAAATTATTCAGCCCCAGTGGAATTAAAAAGTTGTCAGTGGAATAATATTTCGTTGCTGGATTTATTATTCGTTTGCGTGTTACTGCTGCCTTTACGTTAAGCTTTAGTACTTATTTACGTGTTACTGCTGCCTGTACGTCAAGCTTGCAAGTTCACATTATTTGGCTCGTGTGAGACCCTATTATGCCAAGTGAAGGCAAAGAGGATACGAAGAAGCCATCGGTCGGTTCGTCTACTTCTCACCACTTGGTCGTTCCCTCTTCTGCAACACAATCCCGTTCGGTTCTGTAGACAGAGCTTCACCTTCTACCTCAAATAGAGTCAGTCCGAGTCCACAGTTGCCGTGAAAAAAGTTTCGCCTGCCGCTTCCAAGAAAAGCAGCCCTCAGCCGTTGTCTTTGAGTACAGCTTCGTCTCCTGTTCCAAAAAAGACCAGCGTTTCGCCACAACTGTCCGTGAAGGTGCCTAACACCGTCACGACTTCCCCGACTACTAGATCAGCCAGTGATAAGTCCTCGAAGAGTATCAGAATGGCATTAAATGACTTCATTTCGGTTAGCGATAACCTAAGCATGTTCGAGACGCGAATTTCTTTACAATCCGCCTCGGACGCATCACTTGCCAAGCTCAAGATCCGCTTGGCCCAAGTCCGCATCCTGTGGGAGAAGGTCGAGCATGAGCGTGAGCGCTGCTTCCGCGTTCTATATCAGTTGGAGTCCAACGACAAGCAAGCAATGCAGTCAAAATATGAGTACTGCTATTCCGTTTCTGAGCGGTGCACCTACCTGCTCACTGAGCAGATTGAGAGGACGTCCGCTCCAAGTACTAATCCAGGGTTTCTTCTGCTCCACCAAATTGCCCCGTTTGCCCCTTTCGTTATGGGAGCAGTCACTCCAAAACAAGACATCCCCCCCTGGGCGGATATGAACCAGTTTCTGTCCGATCGCTATCGCACTCTCGAGGCGATAGATGATGTGAGACAGAGCCCCAACATTCGCCAAGCCAACTCAAAAGGAGGCACCTTCGCGAAAGGTCAATTCTTTCGAGACGAAGGTCAGCGTAAGGACGCAGACTTGCAAACTTTGTTCCAAGGAGAAGCATGCAGTTCTTCTGTGCCCACGTTTCTTCGCAATGACGGTGAAGGAGCGTTCCGATGTAATTAAACAGCAGAAGCTGTGCGTGAACTGCCCAGCTTAGGGACTGCACGAGTCAGCACACTTGTTCCGTGTACAAGGTACGCCACCACACCTTGTTACACCGTGGGGCCCGTCCCCCGCCCGTGCCATCAATGTCGGCTTCTCCGTCTGCCTCCTCTACCATATAGTGTTCAATAGAACCGTTTCGGGCCTCACCACCAAGGTGTGCAGATTTAAGTTGATTTCGTCCACCAATTCTACAGTTGAGATAGAGACCTCAGCATTTGTCCTTCCACAGTTGGTCGGGGACCTGCCGTCCTATTCGTTCCCACCAGAAGTTTTGAAGGATCTTCCAAATCTGCCGTTGGCAGACCCCACCTTTACCGGAGTTCGCTGAAGACGTATTTTGAAGATCCAAGTCCGGCGTCTGCGGCTCTCTGCGCGCTTAGGAGACAGTCTTCGGATGGATCTTGACTGGTCCTGTGCCCATTTCTGAAAAGAGGACCGTTTCCTCCTTCGCAGCCCGCATCACGCGAGAAGATGAACCTGGGATCGATAAACTGCTCACTAAGTTTTGGGAGGTGGAAGACGTCCCAGCCAGCTGCTCCAAGGCGACAGATGCATTCTGCGAGCATGTTTTCACGAGCACTACAGGAAAGTAGATGGTCGAAAGATACGTTGTGAGGCTCCCATTCAAGGACCCGGAGCACGTAGAGCTGGGCCATTCGCGATCCATCGCTCTGGCGCAGTTTTTAAGGAACGAGGCGCGGCTTAAAAGGAACCCAGCGCTGAAAGAGGAATACGATGCAGTAATCCAGGAATACTTAGCCTTGGAACCGATGCACCAGGTTCCTCCACCCAAGCCGCTCCAATTTCTACCTCACCGACCATGCAGTTTTGAAACCGGACAGCGTCACCATGAAACTCCGCGTGGTTTTCAACACCTCCAGCCCTACTTCAAACGGGAAGAGCCTAAATGGCGTACTACACGCGTGACCCATCCTCCAATCTGATCTGACCTTGCAGGTCCCGAAATGTCGTTTTTTTCGGTACGTGTTCAGCGCCGACGTCACCAAGATGTATCGGCAGATTCGGGTCCACGCTGAGCACACCCCGTTCCAGAGGATCCTGCACCGCAATTCAGTCGGAGACTTGTGTGACTTTGAGCTGGACACCGTCACCTTTGCGGTGAACTGCGCCCCTTTCCTAGCCATCCGTCCTTCTAAAGCTCGCAGAGGACTCACGTTCGCAATATCCGTCTTAGATATAGCAGATGCCAGCACCACGAAGACGCTGGGCATTCGCTGGAAGGCCACCAGCGATGAGTTTCTCTTCGTCGGAACCAAGATGGAGCCGCAACCAAGTTTCACGAAGCGGGAGGTCCTGTCACAAATAGCGAAATTGCTCGACCCAGCAGGCTGGCTGGCCCCCTTCATAACTCTCTCCAAAATCTTCATGGAGACTAACAGCTTACTCCTGAGGTGCACGATTTCGTGCACAGCTACCCGGCGCTCGACCGAATCCGGATCCCAAGGTGGGTTCACTTCCGTCCAACAGGCACCATGCAGTATCACGGCTTCTGCGACGCCTCACAGAAGGCTTACGGAGCCGCAATTTACGTGCGGATGGAATTCCAACAACGCATCCAAATCACCTTCTGGCAGCTAAGACGTGAGTTGTCCCTACCAAGACGGTGTCATTGCCGCGCCTGGAACTATGCGGCGCAGTGCTTCTGGCCGACATGTGCGCGACCATTCTCCCACATCTCCCGCTTAGCAGTTTCCCGACGCAGTACTGGACCGACTCGTCAATCGTGCTTGCCTGGCTGCGCAAACCGGCTTGCAACTGGACCACCTTTGTGGCCAACCGAGTGGCCAGGATTGGGCAAGTCGCAAACCACCAGGAGTGGTACCATGTGCGTTTCGAGCACAATCCAGCAGATTTCGCTAGCTGAGTCGACTTGCCGCAGGAGTTTGAAGGCAGCGACTTGTGGTGGCATGGGCCGGCATGGCTCCGAACCCCAAGCGCAGGACCTGGCCCCACAGGAGACGGACCTGGAGGGTCGCAACATCCAATCAGACCTTCTTGAAGGGTTCTCCGATCTGGGCAGAGCACTAAGAGTAGAGGCGTACATCCAGCGCTTTAGTCGGCAGTGTTGAAAGCTGCTTGTCTCGCCATCCAAAGAGCTAACGCATCAGGAGTTAGCAGAGGCGCAGCGGATCCTGACGATCTACACGCAACGGAGGGAGTATCTACAGGAATATAGCGCCCTGGCGGATCGGAATAGGATAAACAATGGTAGCCGCTTACTAAATTTGAACCCCTTTATGGACGACCTCTAGCTCGCTGAGTTATGACGAACAGCATCCGATCCCCCTGCCGTACAGTTGCGTATACTCGCGGCTCCTAGTCCGCTTCACTCATCGACTCTCGCTGCATGGTGGAGCACAGGTGACTATCAGCCTGGTCCGGTCCAAATATTGGATCCCCCGAATACGTGAATTGGCGAAACAAAAATCAGCTCGTGCACGATCTGCGGCGTGCACAAGAAACGGCTGCAGACTCAGCTGATAGGAGGCCTTGCAGCCCTTTTCCCCTCCTTTTTCTCACACAGGCATCGAATACGCGGGCCCATTGGAGATAAAGAATGACACTGGCAGCGCCTGTCTAATAACTAAGGGCTACGTGTGCGTCTTCGTGTGCTTTAGCACGAAGCCCATCCACTTAGAAGCTACATCCGACCTAACCACGGAAAAGCTTTTGGCAGCTTCCGCGCGGTTCATCGCTCGAAGGCGATGTCCCCAGCAGATCCACTCGGACAACGGGACCACGTTTGTAGGAGCAGATAAGGCGTTGAAACGGGACTTCCTGGAGACGACCAGGGCACGGATCGCGGAATCCTATGGACAACAGATCCTGTCCTGGCGCTTCAATCCGCCTGTCGCACCCCACATGGGCGGTTAATGGGAAGCCGGCGTTAAAAGCTTCAAGGCCCTATTTTACAAGGCCACCTCCAGCTTTAAGTTCACTTTCAAGGAACTCGCCACGCTTCTGTGCAAAATAGAGGTGGTCCTTAACTCCCGTCCTATAGCGATAGCCGTGCCCGCTCGGACGTGAACCACGCCCACTCGCGCAACCAGTCTCGGGTGCCTGTCCGTGCGCCATGCTGCGACGCACCACGGCCCAGCATCCAGGAAAGTTTTTGGGGCATTATGGTATCGCCCACAGCCTTCATCAACCGTATTAACGGCGAATCACGATGGGTCGTGAAAGTCATGATCAATGCCTGCGCTCCCACCAACACCATTGACCGGCCCTTCGCCAAGGCGCTCGGTCTGCGGCCTACGACCAACGAGGGAATGGAGGTATGCAATGTCGCAGTGGAGTCCCGGACTACTTCGTGGCGCCGGCGCGTGACGCTCCAGGTGGTCTCTGGCCTGCGTTAGACTTCCCCCCCGGCACGTCACCCAGCCGGAATTGATATACACGAATTTAAGA